CACTGTTTTTTGGAAAATCATCAGTTAAACCAGAGTATGTATGTAGACTGTATAATCTATGTATTACATATATACAATTATACATATTGTAAATTTATATATTTATTATATGCATTTATATTTATGGAATCCAAATTTTATTTATATGTTAAATGTGTGTGTATAATATCTGGATAGTATATAAGATCTTTCATTTGAGCTTTGATGACATGTAAGACAAAGTCTTAAGTTTTGCCAGTCATCTAAAAGTCTGGAATTCATGATAATTTGAAATTATGTTTGCATTTCCCCCCTTTTGATCAGCATTCTTCCATGGAATCTTTGATAAAAAATGTTCAGCTGGGCACTGTCCAGTTCTTCTGGTCTCATGGCAAAGGAAGCAGTTGTTCATGGAGATAATTAGCCACACATTTCATATCATCCTCCTATTCCTGATTCTCCTTCTTCTGTTGTTCCAGACCAGTTCTTGTGCCTTGGATGGCCATTTGTAAGATTTTAAAATGCCAGGCATTATGCATTGAATTAGGACATAGAACAGAGGCACTAAATATGCTCTGTATTTATAGAAACAAAGAAGTATTAAACCTTCCAGATTCATTTTATGTATTGTGCTTTACTTTCTTAAAATAAAATAAACTTTTCTATTTGGTCCTGTGGTTACTTTTCATTGCTAAAATCCCATCACTGCTAAGAATGTTATTTTGTAATGTTCAAACTTTTTTTTATGGAGTTTCCTGGTTTTTAAGAAATATGTTTCTAAATATAATATAGACTTCTGGAGAAATGAATTGCCTGCAGTGTTTTGCAAAGGTATAATTACATCAAGGACTTCATAATCTACAAGCTTAATAAAATTACTGTCATGCAATTCTCTGTAGGTTGTTTTAGAGTCTGTAATGATATATTGATAACTTTTTGAAGTAAATAGTGAAACATGGGACAAAAATAAATAAGTCTTCACCTAAACTGTCCTGGCATAACCATAATTTCTATTTAAACCAATATAAATTTTCATTATTGCATAATTTGAAGAGAGGATTTAAAATAATTGAAAATACAAAACTTCAACATAGGCAAGACAGAATAAGACTCACTCACAGAAATTAAATTAATAGATTTTTAAGGCAGACAGATGGTTCTTAGAAATTTCTCTTTTTGGTTTCCTAAAAGGTATCTTCATTGTTTGAAAGTCATCAGAGTGACATTTTTAGATGTAGAAATATATTATAAAGAAAATGAAATTATAGCTAATAGGAGGGTTTGTAACTTTCAAAAAAGGCTTTCATATGTGTATGTGTGTGTGTGTATATATATATACACATATACATATATATATATATACACATTATATATATTATAAATCATAAGAGTTGATAAAACTTTATTTGTAAACTAATTTTAGAAAACTAATTTTTGAAAAATGAGACATTTCAAATGTGCTTTGGGAAAGAAAAGCAGAAAAAATCATTGTCAATGTCAGCATTCGTTGGAAGTATTCCCAAGAATGGAATGTTAACAGCAAGTTACTACAAAATGCATATGTATTATGATTAAGAATGCAGAGTCAAGTTATAATTTTAAAATCTGGCTCCAACACTTACTAGCTGTGTGGCCTCTCAATGAACCTGTCTGAGTCTCGGTTTTCTCATGAAATGAAGGCTTGTTGTTGTTATGTGCCAAAGGCAGTAGCATACATAACCATATTAGGATGAGCTAGGCTACCATTCAGTAACAATTAACTCCCAAGTTTCAATGACTTATACCACAGAAGTTCATTTCTGTCATGCAAAGATTGCTGTGGGTTTATACAGCTCTCTAGGGCGGGAATAATCCCTCAGGTAGTTCAACATTCCAGACTGCTTGAATCTCATGGCATCTTCATACTGACAAGTACCCCATGCTCTCACATCAGGGAAAGAGAGATTGTGGAGAATCCAAGCATCAACTCCTAAAGGGCTCCACCTTTCCTTTTCCCAGTCATGCTGACTACTATAAAGTAGAAAGAAAACAAAATTAAGATAAAATTAACTTTAACTTTAAAAAATTGTATCATCTAATTTTAGAACTGTAAAGATTAAAAGTAATCCAATCAAATCTCCTTATTTTACTGATATGGAAACAGACACCCAGAAAGTATAAGATTTTCTGCCTTAGGTTATACAGCCAGCAATAGCAGAGTCTGAAGTGCAATTCAAGTATCTCTGCTAGCTCCTGCCTGGGAGCAATTCTGGTACCAACCTTTGGAAGTGTGCTGAACATTCCTCTTCTACAATATCCTAGACATCAGGTTAGCCTAGCAACATGGAGGTTACATACACACATTTCCAGTACTGTCAATTCCGACTCATGGTGACCATAGAGGAAAGATTAGCACTGCCCTCATAGAGTTTTCAAGGGTGTAATCTTTTTAGAAGCAGACTAGCAGATCTTTCTCCTGCAGAGGTGATGGTGGGTTCGAATAGCCAACCTTTCAGTCAGCAACTGAGTGCTTAACCACTGTGCCACCAGGGCTCCTACATGGAGTTCAGGTGGCTCTTTTAAAAATTTATATTAAATTGAATACTCAGAAATGAAGGAAATGATTGGGGGAACACTCTCAGGCCTAACATGGTATCAGAATAACTATTGTTAATTTCTATTCATTGTCTCTTAACAATGTGATATCTATTATCAAACCAACTGAAAATCCAAGATTAATACCATATTGAAGAATATTTTTGTTATGGCAGGAAAGAATGAGATCTGAGAGAAGAGACAGAATGTTATGCCACAAAACCTTGAAAATGATAAATAATAATAATAATAAATATAGTCTGTTGATCATTTTTGATCCACAAAATGTATTTACCCCCAGACCCTTCCTACTCACTCAGCACTACAGGATCTATTACTGTCAGTAGGGAGAGCTAGAGTGCTGAGCTAGCTGTACATGTGCTTTTTGTTTCCTTTTGCTGAGTGAAGGGGAAAATCAAGTAATCAACATGTCAAGATAAGCGAAATGCCTACTGTATTATGGAAGGTTACAGTTGGCAATGACTAATACAATCATTTTCCACTTGAACAGATTCAGGTTCAAAAGGTAGCTTCAGTTATTTCTAAAATGAAAGGAACAGTAACAGTTCTATTACCAAGTACACTCTCTTCTTTCGCTTGTGTTACTTCCACTCAGGCTTCCTGCGTGTACTGTATGAGGGAAACCTGCAGTCAGACCATGAGGCTGCACTGAAGAAAGAATGCCCCCTAAAGCATCCTGGGAAATGCCTTACCAGAGCTAATCACCAGTTACTTCTTTGCTAAAGCCACTAATCTTGTAAAACTGATGAATCTGAAAATGAATTCAGAGATAAAATTATTGTAGACAACACCTCCAAATACTCTAGTTGAAAATGTTTATTGAGTAATTTTTGTATGCCCTGTATAAAGGTATAATGTCACCTGACTTTGATAACTACTAAGTTCCCTAGAAGGAGCCCTGGTGGCTCAAAGTTTAAGCCCTAGGCTGTTAACCAAAGAATCAGAGGCTCTAACATACAAGGACTATCTGCTCTCATAAAAGACTATTGCCTGTAAAATCCTAAAGGGCAGTTCTACTCTGCTTGTGAGTAGAAAATCAAGTGGAAGGTACTTGACATCTGACAAAAACAACAATGTCCCTAGGTGGCTTGAATGGTTTGCATTGGACTGCTAAGTTAAAAGTTGGTGGTTCAACTTCCTACCATGGAAGATAGGCCTGGTGAGCCTGGCAATCTGCTTCCATTAAGATTACAACCAATAAAATCCTATAGAGTAGTCCTACTCTGTAACACATGGGGTTGCTATGAGTTGGACTCAACCCAATGGCAACTAGCAATTGTCATATTATTTCTTTAAATAGCAGCTTGCTTTCTTGATGACACTGACGGAAAGGAAATAGTTGTATGTGACTAAAGCTAATTTGCCTCTACATAATCTTATTTTCATCTAATAAGGACAATAGTGACATTTTTATTATGAAGTACATTGATGCTGGCTCATCCTATTCTTTTATAAGTAGCATTGATCATATTTTTTTCTCTCCAATGGATTATAAAGCAGGGAAGTCTAGATGTGAGTAAAAACAGCCTCTTAGTTAGTGGAGTACCTTGGATCTCTCAAAAATGGTATTTGTAGTTCATATCAATCCTGAGCAAGTATTTGGGTGAGTTTCATATGTCAAAACCAAAGGGGAAGGCTTAGCAAGGACAGTGTTTCTTGCTTCAGATGAGGTACACTGAAAAGATGTACATCCTTTCTCTCATACACTGAACTCCCCTCTGTTTTATTCCTGCTTGGAGATGACTCCTCCTTCCTGCAGCTTGGAGGATCACAGGCTGATTGAAGAACACAGCAGTTCAGACTCTGTGCTCAGGCTTCCTGTGACTGGCTTCTCCCTCTCTCTCTCTCTGTCTATCTCTCTCTCTGTGTCTATCTCTGTCTCTCTCTCTCTCTCTGTGTCTCTCTGTGAGCCCACAGAGCTGAAACCCACCTGACATTTGCCTGCCTTTTGAATCCAGCTCTGGAATGAAATACATCATTTTACTGCTCTTAAAAGTGAATAGAGTTTGATTACCTCAAGCTACAAGCTGCTTTGCTCCATAAGAAGGACCCAAAAGGACTTGTTTTTCAATCATCATTGTTTTTCAATCTACCTGAGGAACTTGTATTTTTTTTTTTACCTGAAACTTGATGGTGGGCAGGAGTTTGGGGTTTTGTTGTTGTTGTCTCATTGGTTGGCTTGTTCGTTTTTCATTAAAAGGTTGAAAAGTTTTTTGTTAACATTTTAAATGGAACTAAATTTTTAAATCAGTGTTGATTCTGATCTAGAGGAGACATGACTGACCATTTCCTACAGGTATTACCAGGGAACTAGAGGAAAACTAGGTAGGAGAAAATGAAATCTGACTTGCAGCTAACAGCCATGCTTTATTTTGAGAAAATTTACAGAGTCATTGAAAAGGAAAATTGAATATTGACCACGGACAATGTCTGTATTTCTCATTAACTTGTCAACGAATGACTCCAGCTTGTGGAAAGAAAATCATAATTCTACGGACCTTTTAAATCCTCCGGGAACTCTGAATATCTTCCTTTTTTGCCTGACATGCTTAATGACTCTTGCATCTCTGACGGGCAGCATTTATTCACTAGTCTCCCTGCTGAAAATGCAAAATAGAACAGTTGTGTCCATGTTTGTGGCTTCCTGGTCTGGGGATGATCTCCTGAGTGTCCTGTCGGTGACTATCTTCATGTTCTTGCAGTGGCCAAACCAGATCCCTGGCTACTTTCAGTCTCTGTGCTCCACCTCCGCCTTACTGTATATATGTCAGGGTCTCTCCAGCAACTTGAAGGCAACTCTTCTGGTCTCCTACAACTTTTATACTATGTATAGGGCCGTGGGGAGCCAGGCAGCCTCCAGAAGATCCGGCCAGGTGCTCGGTGTGGCGCTGACCGTGTGGGCAGCCAGTCTGCTGCTCTCCGCGCTCCCGCTGTGCGGCTGGGGCGCCTTCGTGCGCAAGCCCTGGGGCTGCCTGGCCGACTGCTCCAGCTCCTATGTGCTGCTCCTCTTCGCCGTGTACACTTCGGCCTTCGTACTCCTAGCAGGCCTCTCGGTCCCGCTCACTCACCAGTTGCTGTGTTCGGAGGAGCCGCCTAGACTCCATGCCAACTACCAGGAAATTTCCCGCGGAGCTTCCACGCCCGGGACCCCTTCCGCCGCGGGGAGAGTGCTTTCCCTATCCCCAGAAGATGCTCCGGGCCCGGCCATGCGGTGCTCTAGGGGATGCTCCCCGAGCTCGGACATTGTGCTTGCACCGGGTCCGCCCGCAAGGGCCGGGCCGGGGCCGGGGCGTGGCGCTGTTCCTGGCGCTGGGACTGGCGCTTGCAGGCGTGAGAACCCAGGGACTTTCTACGGCTCCAGGAGCTTCACCGTGAGCGTCGCGCAGAAGCGCTTCTCTTTGATTCTATCGCTGACAAAAGTCATCCTCTGGCTGCCTATGATGGTAAAAGTGCGGTTGCTTCCAGTGCGCGACTGTGTGTGTGCCTGGCAGTGTGAGTGCGTGTTGGGACCGACGTCTCTGGTTTGGAGATTCACCGCCAGATGCGCAGTTAAGTCCGGTTCCAAATGTATCTCGCTTGGTCTTGGAGACGCACTTGGAGGCAGACAGTTTACCAATGGGGTGGTTCAGCCCCGAAGTCTTTGTCCCCGAGGTGCTTCTTGTTCCAAAATTGTGATGAAGGGAGGAAAGAGGGAGGGTCAGGCACGTTCGTGTTAGTTTCCTAGGTCTGTCGTGACCAAAGCTGTTCTCGTGTCTCTCCAGCGAAATCTGGGAGTGTTCCGAAAAGGAGCAAGGCAGTAAATGTTTTGTTTTGTTTTGTTTCCTCCAACCTTCTATCATCCCCTTCTTTCCATTCCTTCTGGGTGAAGATGCCCCCCACCCCTTTCCCCAGCCCCATCTCCAACTGGGAGATAGGAGAGCCGGAATCAGATGAAGAAGGGAAAGAGGAGAGGATAAGATAGGCTTTTGTCTCTAGTGGCAGCCCAATTGAGAATTGGCAGAGCGGCGTCCTGGTGTAGCAAGCACGCCCGCGCAGAAAAGAAGGACCAAGGAAAGGACAAAAGGCCATCTGGTGTACCAGATGCAGATTCCATGGGCGCCCTGGGTCATATCCCCTACCTGTGGACGGTGCCGCCCAGATGGCAATTTGAGTTGATTCCAAGAGCAAAAACCCACTGCCATCCAGTTGATTCTGACTCATATTGACCCTAAAGCCCTTTGTGATCTACTACAGCAAAGTGAATCCCACCAGCTCTCAGGAATCCACACTAAAGCCAAGAGTGCCTCCTAGGAGAAGGGTTTCAAGCTCTGAGGCAGGAGCGGGACTTGGAAAAGGGAGCTGAAGCAGCATGCTTCAAGGGAAGACTTGGGGAAGTGGAAAATGTGATCTTGAGTTTGGTCTGAAGTTCTCTCCCCTTTGCAGATCCACATGGTGGTCCAGCACGTGGTGGGGTTTCAGAGCCTTCCCTTGGAGACACTCAGCTTTCTACTAACGTTGTTGGCCACCACAGTAACCCCAGTGTTTGTCTTGTCCAAACACTGGACCCACCTGCCCTGTGGCTGCATCATCAACTGCAGGCAGAATGCATATGCAGGTGCATCAGATGAGAAGAAAAGTAAGTTTCCACAATGTTGCGGGTAGAAGCAAAATGCATACATCAAGTACAGTAAAGTGGCCCATTTGAGCAAGTTGTCCCAGAAGGGGATGAGGAGCTCAAGGACAGCTATGAATGGTAAATAGCCAGGAGAAATTAGCACAGTGTTGAAGGAGGTTTTGAATGAGAAAGGTTAGCCCCATTATGTACTTATGAGTTGAACAGTTATTGTAGATTAGAAAGCAAGAGAATAGAATTTATTCAACACAGAATGATATCAACAAAAGCCCTTAAATGTTATATCACCATAGCTTTTAGTCCAGAATAGAAAATAAACCTCTAAAGCCTGCCTGCATCTGAAGAGAAGTTTTTGCTATCTGAAAGGAATTAAAAACTCAGGTTATATTACAGCCCAGAAATATTTGATGGAAGAATAAAAACAACAAAACAAAACAAAAGTTACATTTATGTTGCTGCTTGTATTTTCCCAGGGTTTTAGAAAGCTTTCAGAGCAAACAGTGATAGTACTTGTAAATAGTTCCAAAGCTAATTTTAAGCATACACCTCTATTATAAAACTTAAAACACACATCTCAGTTCCAAGAAAGGACAAAAATGGCAGGGTTTGCCAATAAATATTCTTGTATGAGTCTAGCAATGCTATTTATTTTTTAAAAAATAATAATTTATATGCTAAAGAGCACACCTAGATGGGGGTGTGAGACAGGTTCAATTACAAAACTTTCTAGAGTATAATTTTCCCCATATTCTGTGATAGGAAAATATGAGGAATGATCTGTGTGTTTTGACTCTGAAAGGAAGAAAAGAACAATGTTATTTTATCATTCAATGCAAAAGAGAGGATGTTCTACTGTTTAATAAATCTAAGAATGCATTGGTGGCGGTTCAATTAACTGTCCCATTACCCATGGAATATCTTTTTCTCAGAATAGGCAAACATATTACTATTTAACAGAGAAGAAAGATTAAACAAAAAGAATTCATCTCAGACTAATTTAAACGTATAAAAATCTGAAGGACACTAAAGTATAACTTCTAATCAATTCAAAAATAAGTTACTTTATAACTATTAATTAGTCATGAATCAGGCATTTTCCATGTATGGATGACATTTAAAATTTAGTGTATCTAGATATTTTCCAAATGATCAAAATAGTTTTATTGTTAAGAATGTGTAATGTTTTACTGTTAATAAAAGCTAAATTCACCAGTATCTTCAAAATGAAGTTGCAATGCTTGTAATTATGATGTAACGCTTATACTAATGATATGCTTCAGGAGATTAATGGCTGAAATGATACAAAAAAAAATAATAATAAACCTTTAGGGAACACTCTTATGGAATATATAAAAAATCATTGATAAGCCTGAAATTTCTAACACCCTAACAAAACAAACCATTTTGCCACTAGATAAGGGAACCAGCCCTGACTTATGACATTTAAGATTGTGAAAGACTAGAAGAGTCAAGTGCCAGTGAGAATAAAAAGTCTTGGTGAAGTATGTCAGGGCAGTCATTCTCAGAGAGTGCAGGACACTCACATCAGAAGCTGAAAACATGGGCCTGCCATTGCACATGATCTAGGAAGTAATCTATCTTCTGTACTGCACCAGAGAGAAAAGACTAAAGTAGGCTAGCAGAATCGACAATCATGTTAATGCCAAGTTTTTGAAATCAAAAACATGCCTTTGGAAATGAAAATAATATTTTTCTTCTGAAATCACCATTGCTTTTGTTTGTATTTATTTGAAAACTCCACAGAAGGCCTTCAATCATGTAAACTTATAAAAAGAGGCACAGATTTATGATCCTAAGCTTTACCATAGGGGAATTCTGAGATTTGGAATGGAGTGTATGAGGAGCCACCATAAATTTTCCTATTGCTTGGAAGACACAGCAACAGAATTTTGAAAGTCCAAAGATGGATGTCTCAGGCGGTCCAGGTGTTTGATCAGGCATAGTGCTCGAATTCTGTATGAGTATAGTTACAGTTTTGCATTTAAGCTCTTTTTTCCTAACAGAGAAACCTTACCTTTACATTCTTTATCAGTGAACTGCAGAAGCAAGGAAGGAAAAATACTTTTTTCCTAATTCATATTTACCATAGGTTTATTTTTGCATATGTAAATATGAATCTACCTCTCTGCTTCACTGAATGGGAACTGAGAAACAGGCAACTAGAAAGTGAATCTCTGGCCGGGCAAATAATTCACAAAAATAACAATTCTATTCTAACAAAAATCTGTACTTGTCAGTGTTTGAAAATGAAAGTGTTAAAAATAGGAAGACGATTTTAATACAGAGGTCTCAGGTGGCAGGCATATGGGCTGGCTGCAGCTTTCACGCTCCTTTTGTTTGCCTAGTATGCTTTTTTTTTTTTAAATTGAACAGACAGTTTAAAATATTTTGTATAAAATGTCAGATTCCCAGCTTTTATTTGTTAACAAAAATCAGAGTGTTTAGTAAGTGACAATTATCTGAAGAATTGTTTATTTTATAAGCTGATAAAATTATTTATGTCTAAAATTATAATTGGCAAGATGTAACTAAAAGCAAAAGACTAGAGCTAATTCATGTTTTATGCTGGGTTTTGGAACAGTAAAACATTTTTTTTTTCAGAGCAAATGCAACATTATTTTTTAGAGCTGTAGTATAGACACCACAATATCCTGAGTATTTGTTTTTAAATTTACTGCCAGTGTTTGGTCAATAAAAGACCTCTAGCTATACATACAGAAAAATTTTAAAACACAATTTATCTATGTTTCATTCAATGGCACAAAAGTAGGGGTCAGAAACTCTAAGGCCTTTTAGGCTTTTTCCCTATTAAAAAAAAAAAAAAACAGTTTTTAAAAAAATGTAATTTCTCTAGAAATCATATTCCATTCAGCCAGAGTCATTGAGTCAAAGCCATCCTGTCGAAATCCCTTCCTATTGAACCAGGCACAATTTTTATAGCTTGCTTCTTTTATTCATTCATTCATTTACTCCCTTACTGGACAAATGTTTATTAGGAGAGCGGTCACTATGTGTCTGCCGTGTGTTCAATAGGGAACGGAAGGTACCAACTCATGGCCCATGGGCTGAATTTGGCTCAAAGAAGTCGTTTTATTAGGCTCACAGCTGTTTTTACCCAATTTTAATCTTGTGCCAAGATTTTAAGATCAGATTTTACATCAAAATCCATGTATCCAGGTTGCCTTGAAAAATCTGAATAGCTGACAACACAGGTCCCTCAAGGGCATAATTGGCTGCAGTAGAGGAGCCTGCTTTAGGCAAAGAGGGAGCGCTCTCCTTTGTCACAATTTGTACCTGTTGTTGATGTTGTTGGCTGTCATCCACCTAACTGGCCATTATAGACATTCAACTTTTTCTACCTTTGTTTTATTAAAGAAGAAGACATAGTCTTGGTCTTTAAGGAGCTTACAGATGATCAATTATAACTCCACTACTGAAAAAATCTATTATTTCTCTTAGTAAAAATTCAATCAAAGTAAGTCAGAATTTACCTTTAGAGTTAAGGAAGGAAACTCACTAACATAAAATGTTTTCCTTGGTTACACTTCATAATTAAATGTACTTGCTCTGACTTAAAAACAGCACATTCAAATCATTCTGCTTCCATTATCATATTTCTTTCCTGGGTCTGGTTATCAGTAAAGCAATTTCACACAGTGGTTAATAAATACAATCCTGGATTCAGTTAGCTTTAAATTCTAATCTGTTTATCAGGGAGGTAATCTCAGGTAGTTTCCTCAACAGCCTCGCTTTTCTCATCTGTGAAATAAAACCAGAAAGTTTTTACTGTGTAGAGCTGTTGGTGAGTTAGGGGAGATGATCTGTGTGTAGTACCTAACTCAAGAATTGTCTGTTTCCTAATGGTCTCTCTCACAATTCCTCTTTCTTCTCATTGCCTATCACAGACTGCCTCTTTCTCCTCATGATGTGGAGGGAAATTCTCATTTACACATTCTGCACATTCCTTCAGAAATCTCACTCATTTTTGCTTTATGTATTTCATTGTTACTATATACAGCTAATAAAATATATAGCTATAGGCATTAATTCTTTTATTGTGGTAAATATATATGTGACAAATTGTTTGCCTTTTCAACATTCTTAACGTGTAACTCAGTGACACTTGTTATTTATGTTGTCATTTATTTTTCAAATTTTATATCATAAAATTGGGATTTTATGAAAACTTTTTTTAATGCCCAAGAATTGACACTTTGTCCATTTATATCCACCACCCCCCCTTCTTTTTGGAGAATCAATCAATAATTAAAACATTATTTTTTCCACCTTTCATGCTGTTAAAGTAAATTAAAAATCATAATTTAATTTGAATGGGCTATATTACTAGAAAAAAAACAAGTAGAAATAGAAATGAGACAGAGCATAAAAAAATGAACATGTCAATTTCTATTTTTTCCATTCTATTGGAATAGAAATTCTTCTTGTTTGTATTCTGGATCAAACAGCAATGAATATTTCATATTATATTTTTCAGACAGCAAAACTAGTTTGTAAATTTTCAACATTTCAGTAATATAATCAGTGTATGAAAGGCATTAGAGTATATTGTAAAATTAATCAAAATTTAGTGTTTTTCCCATAGGAATTATATAAATTTTCATAATTTTATCTACTAAGGATAGCTGAGTCTCTGATTATAAAACACAGAACTATAAAAGTAGAAAATTTGTCTGAAACAAGCTATGGCTTAAAAGATGAAGATTAAAATATTAAATTACATTTACCCTAGCACCGTGATGTAACTTCATTTAATATGTTAAAATTATCCATAATTTAGTGACATTCACATACATAAGAAAATCACTTTCTGTCACATCCTCAATTGTTATTCTAATAAGACTTTGACTAAACCCGTTGATTATTAGTGTTATGTTTAGGATACCGTCATATTTCACCTGATCTAAATCATAAAAGGTTTTAAGCATTCCTGCTAAACTCACCTGTAATTAAATTATAGACATGTTGTAGAAGGGACCAGTCCTTGGAGAAGGATATCATGTTTGGTAAAGTAAAGGGTCAGCAGAAAAGGGGAAGACATTCAACTACATGGATGGACACAGTGGCTGGGACGATGGGCTCAAGCATGGCAATGGTTGTTAGGATGGCACAGAACTAGGCAGTGTTTCATTCTCTTGCTATGAGTTGGAACCAACTCAATGTACCTAACAACAACACAACATAGACATGTTGTAAGTGCTTCAGTTCACAGAAATATAAATCCATTACATTTTTTGTCAATTTATTCCAAATTTCTTAATATCAGAAATGTATGCATTTTAAAATGTTTAAAAATTATATTTGACCATAATTTTTAATGTATGCATTTATGTTGTTGTTGTTATGTGCCGTCGAGTCGGAACCGACTCATAGCGACCCCTCCTTGGGTTTCCGAGGCAGTATCACTATGGAAGTAGATTGCCCCATCTTCCTTCCGAGGAGTAGCTGGTGGGTTTGAACCGCCAGCCTTCTGGTTAGCACTCGAGTGCCTTAGGCACATTAGGGATAATATAAATCAAAATATTTAAAGCAATTATATTTGTTGGAGGTATTGTCAGTATAATAGTCAAGCTATTTATAAATTTATCTCTAGCAAACTAATATTTATAAATAATGTATTTTCTCCCCAAATAAAAATAATGTTCAGACTACTTGGTAAACTGAAAAAACTAAGAAACTACTAGAACTGGATGTATTTGAGTGTCTCCTTATTTACAGTTTAAGTATTTAAGTTAGATAAAACTAAAGACTAAAAATTGCTTGGATTTATATATATTCCAAATCTCTCCTTCTGCAAATCAGAAAAACTAGGTCCATAATGATGAGATGATTTGATTTGGGGGGCCATAATTGCTTTGCATAATTAACAAGAAATAGGTGAAGGCTATTTTTAATTCATAGCAATCAAGTTGAATGCCCTCTCCTATTTGTTTTCACTGTGTATATTCCACTTTTGTTTACATGTCTCATTAACTATGGAATTTTGTTTTCATTTTCACTTAGCCAAGAGAAGTTTTGAATTCAATCTATCATTCCAACGAAATTATGGAATTTATAAAATAGCACGTGAGGATTATTTTGAGGATAATGAAAATTTTATATCCCAGCACAACCTGATGAACTATGACTGTGAATCTACAAAGGACTCTCAGAGAGACACCCGCAATTTCTTCAGTGCCATCAAAGTGGAAATCAGCACTGCACCCTCTCCAGACAGCTCCACACTGAGAGGCATCAACAAATGCACAAACACTGATATTGCAGACACTCAACACGTTCCTGACAAAGACAAGGACATTGACCCATTCTTTTCTGACAAAGCAGAATGTCGTACTAATTATGAAGAAACTGCCTTTTTGGAAGGGCCAGAAAGAAGACTTTCTCACGAAGAGAGTCAGAAACCAGAGCTTTCAGACTGGGAGTGGTGCAGGAGTAAGTCAGAAAGGACCCCTCGTCAGGTACAGTAAAGTTGTTCTTCCTATGAAATTAAAAATGAGACCAAATATGATAGGCATAAAATAATAATAATCTGTTGCTTATTTCATTCAATCAGGCCCAAAGTTACTTTCACTTCCCTCGATTGATTTTCATAACATCTTTGGAAGGGTTTTTTAAAAATCAGTTGTACATTTTCATTCAAAATCTATACATTTCAGAATTGACAAATTTAAATGGGACATTTGAAAAGGGATAGAGAGTGCTATTTTAACTCTAATTCAGAGGAGATGCTTATAATTTATGTTTCAAAATAGCTAACTTTTACGTTTTATTTACCTTTCCCTATCCAAAAAGTATCCCACAAGTCCCCAAGAGAGGTTTCTTTTTTAAGTAAAGGCAAATATTTCTACAACCAGCAGTGAGAAGAATTGTCCAGCTGCAATTATCCTAGATAGTTTACCTGTCGTCATTGCTAGCACTGGCCCCTAGTCCCCAGGAGGGAAACAAAGGTCTATTCCAGGGTGTAGTCTGCTTTCCAAAGCCTGCTGAATGCCCATCCCTTTAATGAAGAATGGTTTTATAAGTTTTACAAAACAGAAAGAATTTGAACCTTATATCATTCTAGGCAAATATTCCAGTTTGCCTAGAATGATAAAGATCCTTCTGATTTTATTGAAACTTCAATGTGGCATTGATATAAGATTGTTCTTTCCTCCAAACTCTCATATCTGATAATTAATGTTGTTCTTGCTTTCCACACTGCTGATTTACTAGAAAGATAGAGCCTTTTTCCACATGGTTTAATGAAAATCAGAGTTCACTTGCAGTTAGTCTCTAAAATCGAAAACATAATTCTAGAAATATTCTTCTAGGAGTAATGCGTTTCTTGATCAAAAGCATGAACTTATAACACTAGCTATGAATATGACCAGAATAATCTCAAACTTCATTTACTTTCTTTGATTAATTAAAACTACTAGGATCACCCCGATAGCACCATTTAAAAAGTAAGTTGAATATTTTGTGAGTGTGTAAAATATATTATTAGAAAAAATATTTGTGCATAATTATTCCATTATTAGCAATTTCAGAAAAAAATCACTAAGTACTTGCCATAAATCGAATAGCACAATGGAAAGTGGATGTAAAAGGACATAGTGCTCAGTGTTTTCAGAATAATATGGTATCCCTCAGCTAAAAAAGGAATCCCTACAATTTCTTCAGTTTGTTTCAGAACATATAAACCTCCTGGTTGTCTTCTACTTAAAAATGATGCAGAAGCGTGAGTGCGCGTGTGTGTGTGTGTGTGTGTCCCAAGGACTTGAAACTATCCTGTGTGCTACTGCTCTATGCTTTCCTCGTGTTTACTCTTTAGGGATTATAGACACCTCGAAAATTGCTCATGCGCTTGTATTTTACTATTTCATCAAAAATGTATGTACTTCTGAAAATATGTGTTTAGTTTTGCTAACTTTGAGCTTTCTAAAGCTTTCTGTATTGTACACAGTCTAGGACTTGCTGTTTTTCACACAACTTTACTTCGGTTTACTCCATTTTCTTTTTTGTTAAAAGCATTGAGAATTATCATCTAAAATATCATAATTTACAGCCCTCATTTAAAATTCTTGGTTACAGTTTGGAGAATACAACAATTAAAATGTGAAAAAAATCAGACATAAATATGTTATCCTATGAGAACAAAGAAGCATGAATTACCCCAAACCTCTTTAAATCAAATAATAAAATGATATGTGAAAAATATAAAACTTTGAACAATCCAGATATCTTTCAACTACAAAGACTTAAGTATTAAGTATTAATATTCTCAGACTTCCATGAGCGAGCAAATAGTTCATGAAAGGTGGCTGTGGGAAAAAAAAAAAATACCAGTGGAAAAATAGGTAGTACACTATTCAGGAAAGAAAAAAAAAAAAAAAACTTGCATTTCCAGTACTATCATAAATTATGAAAGCAACTGTAAGAAATTCTAAAGGTATAGGATAATATTGGTATGAACTTTCCTCAATAACATTACCTATGGTCTTTAAATATAACATTATAACAAAAGTACACTTAGAGCTGAAAAACTGATGAAGACTTTCCCTATGACCAGAGACAGATTTCTGCTTTTCAGTAGTCCTCAGTAGCAGATACTTGAGAGTATATGGTGATTTAGGAAGCACTTTTATTTTCATCCTTTCTTCCAAGTGCCTTTGCCTTTAAAGCAAGTTGAGTTACGAATCTTACAGTGACTGTAAGAGATACTGCAGTTACTCTTTGAAAACACTTTCTCTTGATTTGGTATGATTTTGCTTTCAATACTTTGGTACAACTTATCAGCATGTATTGAGATCTGGTGCTATACTGGTTAAGGCACTTGGCTGCTAACCAAAAGGTCAGTGGTTCAAACCCACCAGCTGTTCTGCAGAAGAAAAATGAGGCAGTCTGCTTCCATAAAGGTTTATAGACTTGGGAACCCAATGGGGTTTGCTATGTTTCAGGACCAACTCAATGACAGTGAGTGAGTTTTGTCACTTTAAAGCTAAAGTACTATATTGAATAATGCACATTCTTTGTTCTTAGACTTTAAATTTGAAAAATAAAAAGAAAGCAGGTTTGATTTCAAATTTCTCCCGTGGATCAGATGGTGGGTTAGCAGCCAGGCACTTAACCACTGTGCCACCAGGGTTCCTCAAATATATTTAGTAAGCTCTACACAGTGCCTAAGGCATTTGACTGCTAACCAGAAGCCTGCTGGTTCAAACCCACCAGCCACTCCTCAAAAGGAAGGTTGGGCCATCTACTTCCATAGTGATATCGCCTCAGAAACCCAAGGAGGGGTCTCTATGAGTCAGATCCGACTCCATGGCAGTGGTTGCATTTGTGTTTATGTTATTTTTACAATACATGTTGTTTAACTTTTTATTAAAGTTTACATTGGCAAATATATTAGTGAAAGTATCAAATCAAGAAGAATGACTTCAGTAAGTTTAAATGTGACTTAATGAAATTTATCAGAGTAGAGAGTGTTGATAAGATTGAAATTCCGTGTTACATCTGATCATAGAGTCACCTCGTTTTGGACCTCTGGTCAGTAGAATCCTAGCTGCTCCCTCATAAAAAATACTCAGAAGGGAGAGTCGGACTATCAGAGTTCTTCCGTTACAAAGGTTTCACAGTATGATTTTGTTTCTAAAGTGAAATGATAATTTTCCAGAACTCAAAAGTTGTCATTTATGAATTAAAATAAAAAAACTGGAATTATAAAATAATATATTGGCCTGTGGGTTAACACCCTCCTTTTCTTTTTTTAATACTAAGCTCATCACATCATCCGTACGTAGTCTTTTCTCTTAATGTCTTATTGTAGAGTTTTGGAAAGTTACTCATTTATTATTGTAAATCAGAAAAAAAGATACCCTATAATAAGCTACTTGAACTTATTTATAATCCTATTGTCACAGCATCTGAAAGGTGAAAATGTCCTCCTTTCTGCCAGTGTTGTTGTTATGTGCCATGGAGTCGGACTTGACTCATAGCAACCCCTCCTTGGGTTTCCAAGGCGGTATCACTATGGGAGTAGATTGTCCAACCTTCTTTCTGAAGAGTGGCTGGTGGGTTTGAAACACCAACTTTCTGGTTAGCAGTCAAGTGCCTTAGGCACTATGCTACCAGAGCTCCCTTTCTGCCAGGAGAATATAGAAAAACATATGCTGAGATAATGTCTCTCAAGTGAGAGAAAAGCAGGAGGAGGTGATTGCATTTGAATTTGCAACACAAACGACCTAGCATAAGATGAACAAAGTCTACAAGAACTAAGAATAAAGGGAATTTCATTTCATTTCATTTAAAGGAAAATGTCTTAACTATTTAAAAATAGATTTACAAATCAAAGTGTTGTTGCTGAGAGTATTCAGTGGCAGCATTGGTTTCTATAGTCGTTTTTAAATACTATTATTTCTTTAAATAATTTTTGTAGAAAACTAGAGAGACCAAAGACCAGCTAGACTATTTTGAGTCATTTAGACTAGAATTCTCAATTTTTAATGTTCATGTACAGCAAATGGTGATCTTGTTAAAGTGTATATTAGGATTGAGCGGTTCCCAAGTGGGGTCCAGACTTCTGCATTTCTGACAAGCTCCCAGGTGATTCTGCTTGATACTAAGCAAAATAAGTATGCTAGTCTAGACCTACATAATCAGAATCCCTTAGGTGATTCATATAGACATTAAAATTTGAGAAGCATTTCTTTAGACTCTAGTCACGGGAGAATGGTTATTAGTTTAAACCAAACCAAACTCACTGCCATCAAGTCAGATCTGACTCATAGTGATCCCTCCTTAGGTTTTCAAAGTAATAGGTAAAATCAATTATTTTTACTTAATATATGCCCCAGAAAGTGAGATTGGGAGAAAATTTCTCAATAAACACAGTAGCTTTCCTCACCTAAAAACAGAAAAGTGCTTCTTTTCTTTTCACTTTTTAAAAATAAATTATCAGAAAATTAAACATGGCACAAGAGGGTAATGTTTCATTGATGGCTTAAAAATTGCAGATGCTTCAACTTGTTCTCTGAGGAATTTTTGATATTTTTAACTAAAGTGGTCATGGGAGGAAAATCCACTATTTGTAGCCTCCAGGCAGCCATCCTAACATAAATGACTGGAGTGTAAACTTTTTATTTTAGGCTACATCCATCTATTTGCAGTGGTTAGTTCATTACTCACTATTCAGAGATCTGAAAATTGTTCCATTGATTTTTTTTACAGGCAATTCTAACCTTTATTGTTTTCATGATTGTAAAAATAATAAATAACTATTGTAGAATATTAAGAAATTTTTCATGAGCAAAAGCACCCAAACTACTATTTGTTTATATTTTAACATATTTAACTTTAGTCTCTTCCTTATGCATATATATTTTTATTTTTCACAAAAATGGGTTCATGCAGCATGCAATATGAATTTTCCTCCCTCCCAGTTTCACCTGATTTAACGTGTTAAAAACTCTTCTGTGAT